TAGAAATCCCCTCGGCCAGCTCCCCTGGAGTGAAGACCGGAGGCCAGAGAGGGGGAAGCACAACTCCTGTCGCACGGAGAGCCATCCCAACCCAGGTCTGCTGACCTCCCCATGCCCACCCCACTGGCCACACCCACCTCCTCTGCCAGACAGAGAGCAAGAACAGGGTGGCCTCGTCCCTGTGGTGTAGCCGTCTACCAACTGTGCCCACCCTGAAGAGCAGTGTCACAGCCTGGTGGCCACTGGGGCTGGACCTCCTGGGACACAGATCCCATGATTTGCCAATGGAACTGGACAAGAACAGGATCAGCAAGGAATGTGTGGCCCTGGCCACCCCTTTCAAAGGGCAAGAGGTCACTTCCTTCCTTCCTGGGCACTCTGCCTACTCCTCATTTTGGTCCCCAACAGAGAGAATCATAAATCCCAGTTTACCAACATTCTACACTCTCAAAACTTCCTCGTTCTTATTTAAATACTACAACCCCATAAGGAAAACCCGGGTTAAGATTTTCACCCCCATTTTGCAGAAAAGGAAGAGGAGGCCAAGGGACACTACATGACTTGTCCACAGTCTTCCTGAGCCAGTCACCAAATATGGGGGCTTCCTAAGCCTCAGGCCTAACCCGCTCCTCCCTGGGCAAGCCTTCAGGGCTCACTGTGTGCCCCTGAGTCCCAATGTCCAGCCTCAGCCCAGACCACAGCTCTGTGCCCACCCCCGACACTCAGTGCCTCTCCACACTCCGTGGGTGCATCCCCAGAGCATCTCCAACTCCCATGTGCCAAGCTGCCCCCCACCTCCCCCCACTCCTGGCCTGAAGCTCTTCTAGTCTCAAAAACTGCTTTACCCTCCAGCTTGCAAGTCCAAGATCTAGAAGTCATCCCTGCGGCCACCTCTTCTCTCTCCATTCTCCATCCACAGACCTTAAGCCGCCTCCTAACACCTCCCAGACCCGCCCGGCTCTGCCCATAGCCTTGCGCCCCCTGGACCCAGCACAGTCATCTCTCAGCTCCAACATCTCTGCCTCGGGGAAGTCCTCCCTGATCCCACAGGAGCTCAGAGGATTGCTAAAGACAGCAGAGCACTGTGATCAGACACGGACCTGAGTTCACAAACCCTGGATAAAAGGCTCTCTGTGCCTCAGTTTTAATCTCTGTATAATGGATGCGATTGAAGGACTTATTTCACAGGGCTGTAACGAGAACGAGCGAATTGATGTACGTACAGTGCTTAAAAGTCCCTGGAATACACTAATTCTCTGTACCAAATACACAGGGGAGTGTCACACGGAGCTCCTTGGGAATTTGTGGGGGAGTGATATTTGGAGGAGCCTGAGAAATAATCAAAATTGTTGCCTGTCACTGTCCACCTCCAGCGTTGTTCATGGTCCCAGTATTTCCCGGTTTGATCCTTACAAAGGCATCTCTCGCACTTTTATGCATGTACAAACCTTGTCATGAGCATATCCTGAAAACAGATTCTGTGGGGCATGGTGGCACATGCCTGAAATACCAGCAGCTCGGGAGGCTGAGGCAGGAGGATTGCGAGTTCAAAGCCTGCCTCAGCAACTTAGCAAGGTTCTGAGCAACTTAGCAGACCATAAATTAAAAAAAAAAAAAAAAAATTTAATGGCTGGGGTGCAGCTCCGTCGTTATATACCTCTGGGTTCAATCCCTGATACCCACCAGACCTGGGATCTGCATTTCCCCAGCCCCACAGGGACGCAGATGCTGCTGGTCCACAGCCTGCGCTTGCGGGGCGCGGCTCTCCAGCGCTCCCGGGAGCTGGATACTATTATTCCCACTATTGCCATTTTACAGGATGGGAAACTGAGGCTCAGACAGGTAAAGACCCTTGTCCGAGGGTCACCCAGTGAGTGAAAAGCCAGGGTTTAAATTCAGGTGTGACACTCCCCAAGCAGAAAGACCTGGCTCGAGAGGCTCCTCCACACAGAGGTCCCCAGGCACTAGCTCCAGCCCCTACCCAGCCTGGGTCTGAGCCCTGGGCACAGTGCTGGCTGCTCCGGCCTCCTCTTTCCTGGTGAAGAGGCCTCTCTGAGAGAGGCTGGCCTGGCTGGATCTTCCGTGTTCCCTGCTGGCCGCCACTATTTAGAGCTAGCTTCCTGCCTCCCAAAGCAGGTCCGTGTCCTCTACATTGTCCTCTGCTGGCTGCAACACAACCTTCTACCTCTGCCTCCCTCCATCTTTACCCACACATCTGTGCCCTCACTGCACACGTGCACACACGCACACACACGCACACACCCATGCATACACACAGGCAGCACCCCGGCTCCCTCCTCTGCTGGCAGGAGGGCCCAATTGGGACCTCTGGATCCCACAGCAGAAGCAGCTGAGCTGGAAAGGTCGGCCTGGGCTGCTGCGAGGTCCTCTGCACTCCCAGTGCCGTCCAGCCTGCCAGACACAGGCCCACCACGGGCAGGAAGAGCCTGCTTTCCTGCAGGGCTCTGGCCTCCCTCTGCCCTGCTCATCTGAGCAGGCACTGCTGCCCCTCAGAAGTCATGCCATGTCCTCCTCTTTGTCCTCCTCTTTCTTCTTCCCAGCCAGAAGTCATATCTACATGCAGAGAGAAGAACCATTGGAAATCACCTAATCATTCACACCACATCTCACATATGAGAAAAACAGAGAGGGTGAGGTACCTGCCTTAGCCACACAGCAAGTGAGCAGCACAACTAAAATCAAAACATGGCTCTCCAGACCCTTCGGCACCTTTTCCATGTTCCTTAGAAGTCATATAGGGAGAGCCCAGAGGTCATCTAGATTGGAATCCAGTCTCACTGGCTGGGTAGTCTCGGACAAGTTACTTCACCTCTCTGAACCTCAGTTTTGTCATCTCACGTTGGGACAAAAAACACATTCTGAGGGTTGTTATAAGATGAAAATACAGAATATGTGTTTGATGACTGCTCAAGACCCCACATAGAACGGGTGCTTAACAAATATTCCACCTCTTCTCCTGCCATCGCCACATGCTCGTAAAGGTGAGCGCGTCTCTGCCTGTGTGGGGTGCGGGGGTGCTTGTGCTGGGGATCAGGCTGGGGGCAGAGCACACTGTCTTAGAAATGACCTGCAGGACAGACCATCCCACTAGGACCTGGGGTGCAAGCAGCCACGCCCCTGCAGGCACCAAGACTGCTCCACAGGCCAGCTGCCCGCACACCTGGCCTCACACTAGCTTCCACAGGTGCTGCTGGGTTCTGCCCTTTGCAGATCTGAGTGCAGAGCTCCACCCTCCTTCAAGTCTCCCCCCTCAACAAACAGTCACACAAACACACACACACACACACACACACATTCTCTCTCTCTCTCTCACCAATAGCAGTAGTGAGCAGCGTAGACTTCACTGTAGACGGAAGGGAGGGGATGGAGGGTCTTCACAGCACGTGTCACATAAAACTACCTAAAGCCATCTTTGAAAAGTCTGGATAGGCTGGGCGTGGTGGCACATGCCTGTCATCCCAGCTCCTCAGGAGGCTAAGGCAGGAGGATGGCAAGTTTGAGGCCAGCCTCAGCAACTGAGCAAGACCCTAGCTCAAAATTAAAAATAAAAAGGGCTGGGGATGCAGCTCAGTGGTAGAGCGCCTCTTGGTTCAATTTCAGGATGGAGGGAGGGAGGGAGGAAGGAAGTCCGTCCATCAGTCAGTCTAGATAGATGTGGTCTTTCACGGATCCCTCTTGATCATTTTGCCACCCACAGAGGGGATGGGGGGAGTTCTTGTCACTGTGGCCTGGGCTTGGCCAAGAGCCCTATGCCTAACATGACTCAGTGTCCCCAGAAGCCATGGAAGCCACAGAGGCATCTGAAGCAGATCCTTCCCCACACCATAGCCTCGGGTGGGCTGGGATCGGCTCTGCCCTGCCTGGCCACAGCCCCAGGACAGGGAGTCAGCCACCATCCTGTGGTCCCTCACTGCCTATTTGAATTTGGATAATATATATAGTTGATTTTGCAGAGACACTTTGTGGAGGTCCCCACACTCCGGCCCTCAGTCAGACACTGGTCCTGCCAGGGCACCCCAACCTGGCCACCAGCCACTGTCCCCTCCACCTCAGCATCGGCACCCTCTTCCCACAGGAGCTGTGGCCTTTGCCCTCTGTCGTTTCTCCCTTTTTATTGAAATATTCTTTGGGAGCTGGGGTGCAGCTCAGTGGTGGAGGGCCTGCTGAGCCTGAGAAAGCCCCTGGCTCAACCCCAGCGCCTCAAAATAAACACAGAACTAAATATCCTTTTCTTCCCCATCCTGTCTACCAGCCCTTCCTTCTTACCTTATCCCCAAGGATTTGCATTTTGGGTGTTACTCCTCTTTTCTTGAAATGTGTCTGTTTCCTCCTCTTTCTGGACCATCCCACCTTTATTCACTTGACCAGCTTTTTCTGAGAGCCTGCTTTGCCCTTGGGTGGACAGAAAAGTACTGGGAAAACAAGCCAGGGTAGTCGCTTTGTGAGGCCTGTGGCTGAGGGCGGGGCGTCAGTGGTTATGGTCACAACTGTCACTGTTTTCCCAGGGACTTTCTCTCATAAATGAATTACCCGAATCAGCTCATTTAATCTTCACAACCACCTCAGGAGGCCAGTGCTCTTACCATCACTGTTTTATAGACAAGAAAACTGAGGCACAAGAGGCCAGCTCCCTCACTTACACAAGGCTAGCAAGTGCCTCAGCCAGATTCCAGACCCAGCCACGTGGTCACCTAACCCTACCTCATTGCCCCTCAGTGTGCCCACGTGCCCCAGAGCACAGAGGAAAAGACTAATTACTTGGCCTAAGGAAGTCAGGGAAGGCTTCATGGAGGAGGGACTTGGAGCTGGGTTTTGATGGATGAATAGAAGTTCACAAAATAAAGACCAGGAGAGACCTGGGGACTGGCCAGCGCTCACTCTCCTTCCCACTCCCTGGTGTGGCCGCCCTCCCACGGCTCCCCACGGTCCCCAGACTCACAGCCTGGCCTATCTCCCCCCATGACCCTCCTGTTCCGCAGGGGCTGTGAGGGCCTCGAGCATCTTCCCAATCCTGAGCGTGATCCTGCTCTTCATGGGTGGCCTCTGCATCGCAGCCAGCGAGTTCTACAAGACCCGGCACAACATCATCCTCAGCGCCGGCATCTTCTTCGTGTCTGCAGGTAATGGCCAACGAGCCAGGCAGGCGGGAGCCTGGGCCCAATGGAGGGGAGAGGACCCCCCAGCCCGGGATGGGAGGACCTGGCAGAGGCACTGAGAGGGCAGGGCACCTCGAGGCCTCGCTCAGGGGAAGGCCCGGCTGGGCACCACCTCCAGCCCCTCGGAGTCCCACAGGAACACCCCCTCCCTTGGCCCAGAGGCCATCGTCCTCCCACCATTTTCCAACTCAAATCCTGGGCCCTCTCAAATACTGAGCCTGTCCCCACCTGTCCTCTGCCCTCCAGTACCAGCAAACTGAAAAGGCCATCCACGTGATGCCCAGCTCCAGCCTAGAAGTGAAGGGAGGACCGGCCCTCACGGTCCCAGCCAGGTGGTAGCAGGCAGGTCCCCAAATCCGACTTCTAACCAGTCACACTTGCCTCAGAGGCCAGAAAAGGAGCATGTCATGAGCCACTTAGTAGAACTGACTAACATCTGAGGAGCATTTACCATGTCCCAGGAGCCAAGAGCATCCTCGAGTGTTCCTTTATGTAACCCTCCCCACGGCCCCTCAGGGGTCAGGTCTGCTATCACCCCCAGTTTACAGAGGGGGAAACTGAGACAAAGCTTCACTTGCCAAAGGCTTTGAACGCAAGCAATGGTTCCCAGAGCCAGTCAACCTCCTGTTATACCAGCTTCAAATCCCTGTGCTGCCTTGAGCAAGTGGCTTAACCTCTCTGACTCCTCATCTGTCAACTGTTCACGAAGCACTAAGCAGAGAAGGCTGCTCAATAAACAGCATCTATTGTTATTCCCGATCCGATGACCAGCACCTCTCTCCTCTCCACTCTTTCCACGTGTCTGTCTCTCCGTCCTTCCCCTCTAGATGGTACAATATTAAAGTGAAGTCCGCCAGTGTCCCTCTCTACCCATCCACCTGTGCATCACTGAAAGGGAAGGCTACCCAGCTGTCCCTGCCTTGTGATCCTGCCTGGTGGCCCACATCCTCCGGAACTAACCCATCCTCTCTGGTCCCCCGCCCACCCCTGATGCCCGCAGGTCTTAGTAACATCATCGGCATCATAGTGTACATATCTGCCAATGCCGGGGATCCCTCCAAGAGCGACTCCAAAAAGAATAGTTACTCCTACGGCTGGTCCTTCTACTTCGGGGCCCTGTCCTTTATCATCGCCGAGATGGTCGGGGTGCTGGCGGTGCACATGTTCATCGACCGCCACAAACAGCTGCGGGCCACGGCCCGCGCCACGGACTACCTCCAGGCCTCGGCCATCACCCGCATCCCCAGCTACCGCTACCGCTACCAGCGCCGCAGCCGCTCCAGCTCGCGCTCCACCGAGCCCTCGCCCTCCAGGGACGCCTCGCCCGTGGGCGTCAAGGGCTTCAACACCCTGCCGTCCACGGAGATCTCCATGTACACCCTCAGCCGCGACCCCCTGAAGGCCGCCACCACGCCCACCGCCACCTACAACTCGGACAGGGACAACAGCTTCCTCCAGGTCCACAACTGTATCCAGAAGGAGAACAAGGACTCGCTCCACTCCAACACAGCCAACCGCCGGACCACGCCCGTGTGAAGGGCCAGGCGGCGGCGGGCGGGAGGACGGGCGGGCGGAGGGGCCGCGGGTGGGGAGGGCCCCGGGAGACCTCGGCAAAACACACAAACAAACAAAACAAAACAAAAAAAGAGAAAAAAGAGCAAGTAAATTAAAAAAAAAAAAAAAGAACAAAATACAAGAGGAACAAAGAAGCAAAACAGGCAAAAAGATAAACGAGGAAAGACAGACTCTAACCTAAAGCGTGAGGGATACACAATTAAAACTAGAAATAAATCTAAAAGAAAATGCATGATTTCCCATGTACCATTATTTTAACATTTAATAAAACCAATTTAAATGAAAAAATAAAAGGGAACCAAGATAACATTAAAGCAAAGAGAGAGACAGAGAGAGAGGAGCGGAAGGAAAAGGAATGCCCTTTGTATTTATTAGGGGTTTTTGTTACCTTCTTCTTTTTCTTTTTAACTGCAGGAGAATTTAAAAAATCAAAAGTATTCAGTTCCCTTTAACCCCAGCGGGCCCTGCCTCCCTAGGAGAGTGCGGGGTGGAGACTCAGGGGCCCCCAGGGGCCAGGGGAGCCTGTGGTCACTGCCAGGTCCCTGGAGCCCCTGGGAGTGTGCCCTGGGGACGCTGGGAATGCTCAGTGGCTCAAGAGCCGGCTCCGCCCAGCACTGATGGGGCAATTGTAGGCCTCCAGGTGACCAGAGCCCTTGGTCCCTCCTGTCCGTTAGGTGCCTGGAGGGGGTGCGCTAGGGGCTCGCCCAGCCCCAGGTTCCCAGTCCTTAATGGTCCTTAACCCACTGTGATGACTTCTAGCCTCGAGGAAAGGGAAAGAGAAGGGACGGCTGCCTCCTACCGAGACACCGAAACCCCGGAACCCTCAGGGTGAGCCTTTTGGGGTCACCACCCCCAAGCTCCTGTCATTGGGGTCAGGAGACACCCACCCCCCGGGGGATATAAAGCAGCTCTCCCTCCTCGCCCCTCCCCTCAGGGCCACCCTGTGACCCTGGGGCGATAGTGAACCCCCAACTCATAGGCCTCCAGACCCCTGGGAAAGGGGCTCTTTGACCCTTGGGGGTCCTTAGACTCACTGGCGCCCCCTTGGGGCCCAGCGGGTCCAACAGTGACACTGCAAAAAGGTTTCTTTTTACAAAAGAAAAAGGAAAAACAAGTGGTGATTTTTTTTTAATAAAAAAACCACAAACTATAAATAAATGTAAATATATAATAAGTGGATTTACTTGCAAGAAAATCAGATAGTATTTTTCTTTTAATTCTTTTCCAGCTTTAAACTGTGAAAACAAAAATGGGGTGGGTGGGGGACTTAAAATTTAGCAGGGAACTTGTAAAGACAAAACAGAAAACAAATATACAAATCCATTAAAAATACAAAACTGTTGTGTGAGATGTGAGCTGGGCTTAAAGCCACGGGAGGAGGAGAAAGGCCCCAGTGAGCGTCAGGGAGTTTGCTGGAAAGATCTCTTCCTTCCACCAGGAAGTGCTGCTAATGTGGGAGAGAATGAGGCCCCACCCCACACCTCCTCACACACCCATCCAGTCCAGTTGGCTAAGCCTGGCACAGCCCCTGTGCACAGGGACACACACTCAGACCACACCCTCCCAATCTGCACACAGCCAGGGAGAAAACCAGCCCCCTCACACACAGAGCCATGGACAATGACACCAGAACCCCACGCTGGCCTCTGTGCTTCTGCATGCCCACCCACTGCACACACACCACACACACACACACACACACACACACACGCTCACATGCATGGAAAGGGCACTGGTCTGGAACCCAGGACTGGATTCTGGACTTCCTTGTTCTGTGGCCTCTCTGGGCCTTCACTTCCCCTGAGTAAGCGTGTACACTGACCAATGAGCTCCAAAGACCCGTTCTTGTCCCATGTATCTGACTTTTAAGATCGTTCCAGAGGAACACGCCAGGGATGATAAAACAGCTACCACTGTGTTCCAGTGACATTGAGAACATTCCCAAATTGTCAGTCAGTCTCTCTCTCTCTCCCATCCCCTGCACACGTGCATGCGCGCGCGCGCACACACACACACACACACACACACACACCATATGCCTCCTCACTGTGCTCCCCAGCCCCCTATCCCACATCCAATGTCAAAGCAAAAATATATACACGAGAGCCAATGTATCCTGCCATTCAATGAGAGAAAAGACAAAGAGGTCCCCAAAGCCACTCTTCATCTTGTGTCCCTTTTCTTTAATGCCATAGCCCCTTTGTAGAGAGTGAAGAGACTCCCTTGAGGGAAGAAGTCAGCCACCAGAGTCCTCCAGTGTCTTTGGGAGTCAGTAAAAAAGAGGATCTCTGAGGTTTGCCAGGAGGGGACAAGAATCTCCCTCTATGGAGACAGTTTCAACAGAGTGCCATCCCTGTCCCCGGGAGAGCCCCAGACCAAGCTTAAACTTCACTACCCACTACAGCGGGGGGACACCCAGATTTCTCCCTTTTCTTGCCCAAAGCAACAAGGGCCAGTTCAGACTGAGCAGAATCCAATAGCTTTTCCATGCTAGAAACTTACTTCCAACCAGCCTGTGAGCCAGTCCACAGACTGTGGCCCCTGCCGCCTGCAGCAGCCACCTCTGTCTGCACGTTCCCCACTGGCTGCCCCGAGGTCTCCCAGGTGGATCTCTGAGGAGCAGGAGGGGAGGCTGGACGGGTCCTTGAGCTTCACACTCCTAGCTGCCCTTCCTGCCTTTTGTCTGTAAGAGAAGGTTCTTGCCCCAGCTCAGCAGCTGGAGCTTACAACCCAGCCCCAGCACAAGGCAGACCATCTGCCAGCTTAGCCCAGAGTGCAGGGGGCAGCCATGGGCCCCAGGCCCCGCAGTGGGGGCCACTTAGTTTGTGATGACAACAGAGTATCTCTCAGAGTGGGCAGGAATGGCAGTCTATCCCTTCCCCACCCCACTTGCAACCACCCCACCAGATTCCAAAGCAGTACAGATCAAGGCCTGGAGAGAAGGAGGGGCCCAGGGCGCACGGCCAACCAGTGGGCACAGTCCAGCCAGAGAGGCGAACTGGCCCTGGTTCTCAGAGTTCTGTGGAGGACTGGGGCTGGCGATCACACTTCTCTCCTGGCCAGGCGGCAAGGCCTGGGGCCTGAGGCTGCTTGGAGAAGGCCATGGGGGTGGGGGCGTGGGAGACACCAGAGTGGCCAAGAAAGGGCTAGGGGGCCAGGAGGGAAGGAGCTGGGACTCGGACTGCCAGGGCACTGCTTCCCAGGGTGGATGACTGCTCGTGTCCAGCTCCAACCAGTCCAAGAAATCAACCTCCATTTTATTTTCTTGGTGGGTCCTTTTTTTTTTTTTTTT